TTTTACGCAAAATTGTAAAATTTCCAAGGATTTTGTGCCTAAACGGTTGACTTTAGCGAAAATTTTCATAGAATCTTTTTTATAGGAAATTTTAATCTCTTTAATTTTTCTTCCCTCAAATTTTTGCGAAAAATGCATAGTTTTCGAGATACTTACAAAATACCGATTTTGGATGCCATCTTGGCAAGATGGCGGCGCCGGCGGCAAGTCTGGAGATGTGCATTTTATGGATTTTAGTTAGGGACCCCAAAACCTATAAACCTGCAAAGTTGCAAAACTTCCGGACTTTTTTCCAAGCAAAAATCCCCAATGACTGAACTATTAGGCAAAAAAAATTACCTGCATTGAAAAACTATTTTCCTGAAATAGATCCTAATACCACATATTATAAACTTATCGTTAAAAGCATTGATTTTCGTGGTTCCAATTTTCGGAGTCCCGCACTAGTTAGGTTATTAGTTTGCGCACATAGCACGCCCACTTGTGTCCTCTAAAATTGTGCAAAGCGGCTGACCGTCCCAGTTATTACGCTGTTTAACCGCGAGTTTTTTATTTTTGCGCACAGGAAATTTTACTCGTTTGCTCATCGTCACAAAAAACAATTTTCGTACCATGAATTAGGGACAAGATTTTTATCTGTATACATATAGTATACTTAATCAGTACTAATACATACTTTAGGTTTGCACTTATCCAAAATAATGAAAATAATTTTATGCCCGACGCATTGTTGCCTGAGCCGTATAAAGTAGTAGAAAAAACTTTGAACCGTGGCAACCAGTAAAAAAGCAAATCAAAAAAGTTTTAGTTTCAATTTAAAAAAAAATCAATTTTTTATTATTTTTATTCAAAAAATAACTAACTCACTGGTTATAAGTCATTGAAATATTTTGCTACACGAATTTGTAGTACACTTATGCTGTTTTTTCTTAAAACAAGAGCTCTTTTGATATTTATGCTTTTATTTGAGTAACGTTATTTACAGAAAAACAAGGAAAGAAGGAAGTACAAAGGAAAACTCGGTTTTCTTTCAAGGAAAAATAAATAAACACATATCTATGACTTCCAACGGTATAATCCTTAAGAATTCATTCCTACGCAACACAAAAAGCTTGGAAAAATATCTCTGACATCAATTTATTCCTGTAATATCTCTGGAATTGAGATAGTTCTATTTTTAGTGTCAATCTCTTCTCGAGTCATAATAAGGAAAAAGGAAGGTGTGTATATTTTTCTATAAAAATATTTTGGTTATGAAATAGTGAATTTCGAATAAAATATCTTCTTGAA